AGGTGGACACTGACCAATCCCCTCACAAGGACACGACACAAGGCCTGCAAAGCAGAAAAGGAGGCTTGTTAAGGCTTCCTTGGAGAATCCTTTGACTAAAATACAGGACGGAGAGGCTCAAGTCACATGAACACCTCTTGGAGGCGCTGCCACACAGCACAGGAATTAACCGCCCACAAAACTACATTTTCCAGGCCCAGCATCTGGGCAGGTGGTGTCTTTTTGTATTCCTTCTGGACGTGCCAGGCATTCTGAAGAATTTCTGAAAATCTGTCCCACAAAACGCGAAGGCCCCACCACCACTGCTCTACCACTAAAGAAACAAGAAGCCAAAAGCCGCCCAAGCATATGCAGCGTGATCCCTGCCTGCCTCCTGCTGTCCCATATGCTTTACAGTTGCTTAAAGAAATGTGTGAAAGTGCCGGAGTTAAACCATTTGGGAACAAAAAGTGTATTGCTAGTATTGTCTGAGAACAAGACAGAGACAGCCAAGCGGTCACAACATTCAGATTAAACGCTGTTCAGTAGGGACGATGCCAAAATGCACATGAGATTGAAATATTGTCACCTCACCCAGCTGGATCCCCACGATAAACTATGGCTTGAATCTGTCCCAGCAAGCTGGCCTCCTCACATAAGCCAGCTCAGCCAGGACTATGTGGACCGACCCTGCGGCTGGCTGGTGACCTTGAAGAAAACCCTCCCTGTGAAGGGATGGAGCTTCCCGAGGAGCGATGGGCCTGCGGCCCCCTCTTCCAGGCCAGGAATGCAGCTGTCACCCAGCTGTTGCAGTTGCTAGCTCGGCAAACTGGAGCCTAAGGTCACACCTTAAGGAAGAGACTGGAGTTTCTAGCTCCAAAATGGCTTAGCTGATTTAAATGATTTGCCCAACAAACCATTTCAATCAGCGGGGCTGATTTCAGCCTTTCTATAAACGTAGGTGCTAAGAGAGAAATCCATTATTCCAGCAGAGGCAAACAAGTTCCTGGCCCTACGAGGGTTTCTTTCTCCTGTCTCATCCCAGCCCTATTCCTGAGCCCCATGGCAAGTCTCTGACACTTCATTCAGCCTAAGAAGTCTGGCATCTGCCACAGGAGAAACAGGGCCAGCCTACAGGGCGGGGCCTTTCTCAAAGTGCTATGATTGGCTAGTGCAAAGTTGCCTCAGCCTGAAATGGGCCCCAGGGGCTCCTCCCACTTCTATTTGCTGTAGGTCAAGGGCATCACTGTGCATGTGGGTTACCAGCTCCCAGGCTCTCCCTTCCTTTACCCTGTACCTCCAGAATCTGCAAAACAACCCTGGAGTCCATCTCTAGAAGCAAGCCCCTTAGGGGCTCTAGGACCTGCTTTCCCATATTGCACTGGCATTTGAAGGCTTCCTCCTTTCCCTAGTGAGGGGGAGGTCCTTCTTCTTTGGCCAACAGAACTATTAGGTTCACTTGATTTGCTATTACACATTCCATTTCTCTCCTTAGTCACATCTCACCCTGGGATATGGTCTTCACTGAACTGGGGCAACTGCTGAATCTCAAATGTGAAGAATAATACCACAGTGTTGACCTCCGCCAGTCCGATCAATACATCCTCAGAGTTGATTCTCCAGGAGTTACAGAGGGGTACCACATCCTCAGAGTTGATTTTCCAGGAGTTACAGAGGGGTACCCCATCTCTCAAGATGTGGGCTCAGCTGAGTGAAGTGAAACTGAGTACAAGGCTTGGAATAGTCCACACAGGACTGGGCTGCCCACCAGCCAAGGCACACACACATATGTATGCATGCATGTATATATGTATGTATGTATGTGTATACATGTGTGTGTCTGTGAATGAGACATTGCCCTCAAAAAGCCCACAATCAAGGCTCTAGGCCAAAGACATCATGTGTGTATGTGTGTGTGTGTGAGTGAGTATGTGTATATATGCACGTGTGTGCACGCATGCACCTATACTGGACTTGAACTCAGGACCTGGGTGCTGTTGCTTTGCTTTTTTGCTCAAGGCTAGTACTCTACCACTTGAGCCATATCTTCACATCTGGCTGTTTGTTGGTTAGTTAGAGATAAGAGTCTCATAGCCTTTTCTGCCCAGCTTGCTTAAACTCAGGATCTTCACATCTCAGCCTCCTGAGTAGCTAGGATTACAGGCATGAGCCACCAGTGCCTGGTGTCCTCAAATACACCTTACTGCATCTCTTTTGTGTCAGGATTGGGCAATGACTCTGTGGCTGGGAGCGTTCCTCTCTTCCTCCACCTGTACCCAGAGCCCTGGCGCCTGTTCTGCCATGCTTCAAGATGGTCGGGCAGATGCAGACAGCAAGGGGTGCTTTCTGGTTCAAAGCACTTCTCTGGTTGGGGACACTAGGGTGGGGTCGTGCTTGGGGTTCTCGCTGCAATCCATCCACTCATATTTCTTTACCTCTTTGATGCATTTTCCTTCAGTAGCCAGAGTCCCCAACAGCGAGGAGTCGGACTCAGCCTTGTACCGACTGAGGAAGGAGGTGGAAGAATTCCACTTAGCGGCTGGACCGGACATTTCTGGCAAACGCCAACATGGCACAGAGGCAGCGGCAAGCCCGCTCTGCCTGGCGGCAGTCACTCGGGCTACGGGAAGCTGGATGGGGCCCACAGCATGGAGAGCCAACACTAGGACAGCCAGGACAGCGCTACGAGGAGATGGTTGCCAAGGGCGGCTGCTCCCTCTGGGTTACCCCACCATGTGGTGGGAAAGAGACCCAGGTGGACCAGTCCACCTGAGGGGCCTGGGCATCTCCTGGTAACTGCCACACAGCACCGAGTGGGCTTCCAGATGGAGAGGGTCTGCTGGGTGGCTCAGCTTTAGAACTGGCAGCCTTTCTGTGCAGGGTGACAAACAGAGACCCAGCGGCTGCCCTTGATGGGCACCTGCTCCATCCTCTGCCTGGTGAGGCTCCTGCAGTGCTCAGGGCCAAGGTCTCAGAGACCTCGAGTGCCTGGGAAGGAACCGATAGGAAAGGGAAGAGGGAGAGACTCATCCTTCACTGGCAAGTTGGGCTGCCTGGCAGCCACCAGGCCAAGGCGGGGCCCCTGGCCTCATCCAACGGAAGAAGAGGAGGAGGGGCTTTGGGATCCTTTGGACAAGGGCTTCCACAGTCTGAGACCCAGGGAAGAAGAGGACTTAGCAAGATTACAAAATGCTCTCCCTGTCAGGATGGGTCAGAACTCCCCCAACTCTCAGACTCTGAATTGAGTCTCAGTTTCCTCCCTCCTGTAACCAGGTCTTAGTAAAGGCAGACGAATCTCAGTTCTCTTGTGTTCCATGACCATGGAACAGAACATGTGTTTACCATGTGCTGGGCAGCGAACAGCTATATGGGAATTCACAATGATTGAGTCTGTGCTGTGGAAGTCCCTCTTCTGGTCTATCCTAATAAGCCTGTCTTCCTCAGATGCGCTCCTAGCCCCTCACCCTTTATGGTTGTATGGGAAAGTAGGATTAGGAGTCTTGTGCCAAAGAATGACTGTAGGGACATTTTCTCTCATAGATCAGGACATGACAGTCAGAGACGGGGCAATAGGAAACCTCGCTAACATATGGTTCTGTATGAGTGATAGAAATCTTCCAAAGATGAAACTGGGATATCAAATAGATTAAAGTGCAGTCAATTAATATTGACTTCCAAGAGCACTACGCTGAAGATTCCCACATGTCTAGGCTTCAAAAACAGTAGTTATGTCTGCCTCAGAAAAGAAGGTAGGAGCGGAGGCAAAGCATGCGCCACCTCATGCTCAATTCTGTCCCTCTGTTGTTGGAACCTGGCTAATTCTCCCCTTCAGCTCATTCCTTTTTGGGGAATTTAACTGATAACACTCAGGAGCTCCAACACCCTAGTTCTCCTAACCTGTCTCCTTCTGGCCTTATCCAAGAGTGCAAAACATGCTCATTCCTCAAGACAAGATCATGGACTCCGTTTCCCTTCTGAGGTTATTAGATAACCTTTTTAAAAAAGTGACCTACCAAATCTCAAAGGACTAGACCTGGTATTAGCCAATAGACTAATTTAGCATGTTTAGTTTCTAATGAGTTAATTTTCATACTTTTGTTTTTCAAAAGCACCAGAACCTTTAAAAAAGGTTCTCCAAGACTCTAATGTATACAAGGCATGGAGAAGCTACTGCTCTGGGCAAAGCAGAAGGGCTACACAGGTCCTGGAAGGCCTGCTGTCCCTTAGGAGCCCAAGACACCCATGAAACACCATGCAGGACCTGGCATGAACAGCAGTCAAGATCAAAGCCTCCCAAGACAAGCTGATTAGCATGCTCTCTCTGTGGCCGGTTAGAGACAGCCTGGCCTTACACTTCCCAGCCTTGGACCTCCTCCTCTCCCTGGCCCTGCCCCACCAACACAAGTTTACAGGCAAAGGAAAGGGAAAGACAGCTAGAAGGGCTGGTGGCTGTCCCCAAAGGATGAATGCTCCCAGGCCACCTGACTGAGCATGCCCCTTCAGTGTGTCTCCATGCCCTGAGGCAAGCCACAGAAACACACCGGATCAAAGTTAAGGGCCACCCAGCACATGCTAGGGCTTGAATTCACCTAAAATGCTTATGAGTCAACTGCTTATTAACTCCCACTGGAGCCCTTGGGCTTCTGATCTATTGCCCAACTTAGCCAAGCTCACCTGGACCACTCCCTGAGTTGTCCATCTTTACCCCAGCCATTGCAGCAAGAGGCACAAGCCTGGTGTGGGTTGCTGCTCTACCTGCTCACAAAGCATGGGACCTTGAGCAAGACATGCCACCTCTCAGGGACCTGGGGGACAGGACTAATGCAGATCAGCCCCCGCCCCGACCTTACAAGGCACTCGAGGCTCTGAGCACTTACAGGAGCACTAAGCATGAGCTGGGCAGGAGACGTAACTTGACCCAAACTTGCTCAAAATAAGAGACAAGGGCAGGGCTTGGAGAAGATGCCTAGAAAGCTCTCTCCACCATTCCGGACTGTAGTTGCAGCCTCTGCTTCCTGGGGACCTGAACAGCAGCGACCCAGCATCTCCAGGGCAATCTGGCCAGGGGAGCAGCACAGCTCAGTAGCAAACACCTCATGACAGTGCACAGTTTTAAAAAAAAAAATTGAGGAAGCAATACAAGAACCCCAGGTACAGTGCATCTGAGCCGTAAATACATTATTTTAAGGATATACTTTTGTGTTCTTCCATTAAAAATGAGTTTATAGTCCTGATTCTATTCACAAAGAGCAATTTCATCAGCACACACTACAGACAGATGCTACAGGGAACACAGGGCAAGTTCTACAAGAGGAAGTCAGTCGGGCAGGAGGGGCAGAGGGCGACTGAACCAGCACTTCGAGGCACACCCAGGACAGCCTACTGGAAGCGAGGTCACTAATGCGGCAGTAGAATGTCAACACCATGGAAACTCACAGACAGAAGCAGCTTTGTTCAATGTAAACATTGATTTTTTTTTAAAGGAAAGAACAGCAGTTCCAAGTCTCGCTCGCTCGCTCGCTCGCTCTCATGTGTGTTCTCTCACGCTTGCTCGCTCACTCTCCTTCTCATATACTTATTTCTTTGAAAACGTAAACATATTGGAAGGGCCTTGTCTGAGGTATTGAGGTATTCCTCGAAGGTTAAGGCTGTTATCAATGCAGGCTCTGCTGGGCCTCTTTCAGTAAGCTGTCAAAATCCATGGCTTCATACTTGCTTTTCCCAGACGTGGGAAGGGCCTCTTCTGAAGTGGGATCTGGGGGTCATCGAGAGAAGGGAGTAAGACACTTGACAGAGGCCAAGGAACTGATGCATCTTCCGGGAAGGGTGGGCCCCATGGAGTGAGCATGGCCCAGGAAGTCAGACGCTGGGGATGAGCCCCGAGCCTCCACTGCTGTCTTCCCAGTGACAAGATGACATCTCTGCTGTGCCACCAATGTCTCAAGGCTTCACGACCCTGTTTGTAAAGGGGGCTCTGAACTAGGGCACCTTCAAACTCTTTTCCGGCCAACATTCTAGAATTCTACTTCCTCTGATTCTTTCCACCGTTAGTAACCCCTTGCTGAGTCACAAAAAGGACACTAACAAAACTGGAATCTCTGTTGTGTATAGACAGGGAAGCTGAGTCCCATACAAAGAACTGGGAGCCACCTAGGTCTCTGATGGTCAGCCCTGTACCATGTAAAGTTGTACTTTACATAATTATTTCTTCATTGTACTTCCTTTTCTACACCAGTTTGCCCCTAAATGGCAAGGGCACCAGGGTGGTATTGTTACACTGTGGCCCATTAGTGGGCAGAGCTGCTGCCTGGGCAGAAGTCACCAAAGAATAAATGGTCCTTCAGGGACAGAGCATCAGAATAGCAGGATAGCCATGGTTCTGCTAGCTGTGAGCACAGGGCACCTGCTCAGGAGCATGAGGAGCCTGACATTCTGTCTTTGGTCCCAGTGACATGGAAAAAAAGCAAGATGGTAGAGTTAGGCAATGTATCTGTGGAATTCTATCGATCAGCTGGCACTCAGGCTTGGGTGAGGGGCTCTGTATCCAAGAAGGGCTTTCAGATTGGGTAGCATTAAAGAAAGCTACTCTCCCTCATGCTCTGGGCTAATGGGGCCATGCGTGCTTACCATAGTCAGTGTATCTGGGCCAGCGGAAGTGCTGGAGTCCTCCATAGCTCAGCTGCAAGGAAGGCTCGTGGTGCTTCCTCAGTGTCCCACCATTCCTCAGAGAGAGTGCTGCGTGCTCCGAACACCGGTAGGTGATGAAGCCATGCTTCTCACCCCTGTGGGGAGAGGACAAGGAGGGGGGGTGCTTCTAGACCAGCCTAGTAGATGTAAACTGCCAAAAGCCACCTCGATTCAGTACCCATGTCACATGCATCCTCCCCCAGAGATAAGCCATGAGGCCAAGCACAGTCCATTTAATGAGGGAAAGCAGAGGAGCCGATTTGCTCAGGGTCTGCCAGGTACTGGCCATTTCGCACTATGCCACATCCTCTTCACAGGACCTTGTGATGTGGGTGCTGTCATATCCACCTCCCTGGGAGGAAACAGGTTCTGTGCAGCTCTGTGGAATGCAGGACCGCAGGTCTCCCCAATGTTAAAGTAAATGGTCCCAGTTTTTCCACATCCTTGCCAGCATTCCTCCTCCTCCTCCTCTGCCTCCTCCTCTCTCCTCTTCTCCCTCCTCTTCCTTCTTTTGGAAGTAAAAGGGTTTTGCAATTGCTAGGCAGGTACTCTATTACCTAAGAGAGGCCTCCAGCTATTTTATTTGCTTTCCTTGTTTGAATAAGGTTTCAAATTTATGCCTGAGCGAACCTAGACCATGATCCTCCTCTTTACACTTTCTGTACAACTGGAATGAGAGGTGCAAGCCACGTATGTAGGTTTTATTGGTTGAAATGAATTTTCATGGACTTTTTGACAGGATTGGTCTTGAACCAGATCCTCCCAATCTCAGCCTCTGAGTAGCTAGGATTACAGCATGAGCCACTATACCCGGCTTGGCTTGTTTATTTCAATAGTAGCCATCCTCATAGGCAGGAAGTGTGTAAAGAGATTATTTTCTTGCTAAAGCTTTTTATTAAGTCAGAATTTTTAAACCCTAATACCTTAGTTTGCAGATGTACTGGAGATACTTTAGAAATATTTCAAAATTGGCAAAGCTTTGGCATCTCAATTATGTATTCACAGGTAACTAGTTTTTTTGGCTTTTTTTTATTTTCAGAGTCCCTGACAGATAAAACACCGCTTCTCTGTGTTCATCAGGAGAAAGCTAAGGTTGCCTAGTAGAATGGAGGCCTGAGCCTCAGACTGTGAGCTGCCTGGGGATGCAGCATGGAGCGACAGCACAGACAGACCCGGATGCTAGTGGGTCTTCAAGCTGCCGAAGGCCAATCGCTGCCCTGTGTTGTCTCTGGCACAAAGGCCCTGAAGCGGATTTGGGGCTCCACTTCTCGCTCTGCCATTAAGCCACTGCTCTGGTAACCTGTCTGACTCCCCCAAAGAGGAGAGCACTAGAAAGAGGAGAGAAGGAGCTACCTGTGAGCCTAGCTACTCAGGAGGCTGAGATCTGAAGACTGAGGTTTGAAACTAGCCTTGACAAGTCCATGAGACTTGTCTCAACAATCAACCCACATAAAGCCAGAGGTGGAGGTGTGGCTCAAGTGGGAGAGCAACAGCCTTGAGCCAAGGGAGAGAGCCCAGGCCCTGAGTTCAAACCCTAGTAATGGCCCAAAAGAAGAAAGAGAAGGGCGGAACGCTTGGGTAGAATGCACAGAATCGGCCAAGAATTTAGCACTATGTCTTCGTGTGTCTGGCCGGCACTGGTCACCAGTCCTTGTCCCTGTCCTTGTCCTGGTCCTTGTCTTTGCTTTCTGGGTCTAAGCTCTCGATTGTGTTACATTTGTGCCATGCATCTCCTCAGGCCCTTTCTGCGGGCCCACTCCTGAGTGGGCGCCTGTGTCCCTCCTGACCTCACTTACCTCTTACTTCTTGTCAGCACCTGGCACTCCACAATCTCTCCAAACACCTCAAAGCGCCTCTTCAGCTCTCTCGAACTCATATCGCTGGAGAGATTCCGAACGTATACCATGCGGCCTTCGCCCTGCTCGAGAGGGAACAGAGAGCGACCTGACCTGATCATTGCTCCACGCGAGAACGCCCATTGCTGTCAGGCTGCTGAGGGGAGCTGCGCTGGAGGAAGCGCGTGCGCACTGATGGAGAGGAAGGGCTTCACCCCGAGAGGTGCCGGCCTGGCCCAGCGCTCCCGCACTTGGATTTCCAGTGGGCCTGCGAGCTGCTGAGTCGCACACTAGGTTACTGGAGGCAGTGCTATCTTTGGGCGTGTCAGGACAACGAAGCAGAACCGTATCACACGCACTGGCCAGGAAGCCGCCTGCAGGAGCGCTCCGTGCTGCGCGCGGTGCCCAGGCAGCCTGGCAGAGCAGTGGAGCCCGTGTGGTTCAGACAGGTTTTCTCTGGAAAAGGCAGAGCCAGCATCTCCCGGGTGGCCCAGCCCCGCATCACAGGGGGACAGGAGCAAACCCAGGCCCAGGCTCCACGCGGGGCCACAGCATCGGTCGCAGGGCTCCGCATCCCACGTCACCATCTCCTCTTCTCTCCGCGTCCGAGCTTCGCCGGCCCTTTCCTGGGCTGGCTGCAATGCCCCGGACACTGGGAGTCCTTCTCCTCCCGTTGGGCTCAGGAATTGGGGGACGCCTCTTCCCCACCCCCTAAGGACCTCCTGCTCCTCCTGACAGTCCCAGCCACCTGCTTGCTCAGACATTTTAGCCCTGGCATCATTGGTGTCACCCCGCTTGGTGCAGGCCTCACTGCCACCGTGTCTTTGTGTGGGAGTCGCGTGTCTTTCTCTCTTCTGCCTCAGTGGTGGGACTGGAGCCTCATCTGTCTCGTACATCACCCCGACACCCAACTGCCAAATGACCAGCCACCCCAGGATCCAAGAAGCTGCTCTGTGCTCGGCCTGGGTGTAATTCTGGGGTTCACATCCCTCATGAGTCCCCTGTTCCTCAAAGCACCACATCCAATGGTTGCACATCATCCGATTGCTCTCTGTCCGTTGTTCCTGCCTCCCTCCCTTCTTCCTGGAGGCTGGACGGAGCTGCCTCCCTGGCCTCGGCCGCAGGTCCTGGCCGCCGCTCCATGCTCAGCGGTGTGAGCAGCCCCGCAAGGCCGGGCGCTGCGGATGGACTCTGGGAGGGGAGCAGGGAGGGGGTCCGGGAAGATAGAAGGGGCTCCCGTGGTCTTTGAACCCTGACCAACTTGGGAAGGTCCTTAGGAAGCACAAACCCCCAACTGTGTCAGCTACCCATGAGGACGCTGGGCCCAAGGAAGCGAAGGCCTGCCAAAGTCACCCTGAAAGGGGCGGGGGACTGGCTTATGGCTGACTTGGCCTGTGTTTATTTCCCTCCGCTACCACCATCTGCCTCTCTGCCTTCTAAAGGCGCCTGAGCCGAGCCCTAAGTTGATACCAACTGCATACTTCACGGCCATTCTACTGGCTGGGCTTTGCATGGCCTCGCCCTGGAGGGCTATGGGTGGATCCTGGGGTTTTTTAAGGGGAGAAAAACACAGCGCATCCGCAGGCAGACACCCCCTGTACTCCAGCTCACCCCATGCACTCTGGACTCGGCCCCATCACTTACAATGGCCTTTTCCCACCGCTTCGTGGCGTGACGGATGCTTGGCCTTCCATCCGAACAGGGCCCTTGGCTCTCACATCTGTCAGTGAACAAGCATAGCACAGACACTCACTCAAGGGGTGTGGCAGAGCAGGTAAGGGAGTCAGCCCCCCAAGACAAGGGTTTCTCTAGGGTAGAAGTACCCTGTCTCCCTCCTTCAGAGCCCAGATTCCCTTCAGCCATGGCAGCCCAGGGCTGCTAGGGGCCTGACGCCAGGGACACTGCCTTCTGCCAGCGTTGGGTGCCCATTTCCTGCCTCTCCTGCCATTGGAGGCAGGGGAATTATGCTCCCCTCTTTTCCAAATGTGAGTTTCAGCTCAAGATAGATTTTCCTAAAACTAGGAAGAGAACGAGTCGGTGCTAGAAGCGAGTGCTCCGCTCAGGATCCACTGGCTCACACTCTAGCCAGGGCCGGCTCTGCCCATCACAGCGCTGTGCCACCCGCCCACTGTCCTGCTAAGCTCTGCAAAGCCAAGCCTCTCCCCTCCTCCATGGGCCCACGCTTCATTCCACCCTCACTCCTCCAGCCTGAGTCCTGGAGAAACACAGCTCAGAACCTCCCGGCACATGGGAGGCCGAGGCTGGAGGACTGCTAAACTACACGCCAGCCAGCCTGGACTACAAAGCGAGCAACTTAAGTACAGGCACACAGGCCCTTAGAACTGAGCAGTCCATGTCCCTGCTGGGCGGCCCTGGTCCAGGTCCATCAGCTCTCTCATCTGTCAAACAGGGGTCATCACCTATGTCTCCTTCCAAGCTATCTGTGAGGCCTAAGCCTGAAAAATGCACATGAATGCCCAGCCTAAGACTCGCTCTGTCAGATGTTTGCTCTGTTTTTCTATTGAACCTTTCTGAGCCTCCACTTATTCAACTGTAAAATGGGATCAAGAGACAGGTGAGTCTTGCAAATATGAATGTGGCGTGGATGGTGACAGACTGACAGAAGGGACGTGTGGTGTGCATACATTAACATAGAATAGAACATGCTGGGCATGGGGGTGCATGACTGTGGTCCCAGGATTCAGAAGGAAGAGATCTTGAGATCTTGTCCCAAAATTAAATCAACTACTATAAAATAAAGGATTATCCTTTGTAACAGTGCTGGCCAACCTCTTTTGAGTGAGTGCTGGGAGAGGAAGGACCTTGAAGATGATGGAGAATTTGGTTTGTGCCGTTAAACCAATCTCAAAGTACTTGTTGTTGATGCTAGACAGGGCAGTGTGGAGGAAACAGACTTGAGGAGGCTGAGTGGTTACCAGGTTGGTCAGATACCAAGCCCTGCCTACAGCTGAGCAGCCTTGGAGATAAGCAGCCCTCTGCTCTGTGAGCGCAAACAGCCAGGCCTGCATCTGGTCCACTCTCAAGAAGAGAAAAAGGAAGCCGGTGCTGGTGTCTCAACGCTTGTAATCATAGCTGCACAGGAAGCTGAGATCTGAGGATCACAGTTCAAAGCCAGCCTAGGCAGGAAAATCTATAAGACTCGTATCTCTAATAAACTTCTCAGTAAAAGCTGGAAGTGGACTTGTGGTAGAACATTAGCCTCAGGGACAGAGTCCAGGCTCTGAGTTCAAGCCCCAGGACCAGCACGAATAACAATAACAACAAGAGCAATAAAATTTAAAAAGGAAGAGCTAAAGAGTGAACAGGTAGAGTCCTGGGGAGTCTCAGTTCTTTAGAGGTACATGTAGGAAGGCAAACACACTCAAAGCTCAGGTTGGGTAGGAAGAAGAGGCCGGGATCTCCAGCGTGGACCATGGGGACCAGCTTCAACATCAGGAGAATGTCAGTAGTGTTCTGAGCCAATTTTCCCACAGGACTGCCTCGCGTGGAGCCCATGTAGTTGAACCCAGCCAAGCAAGGCTAACACTGAACCCTTACTGCAAAAGAGCCCACAGGCAGTGCTACCTCCTGGGAAGGAAGCACAGAGCCAGAAAGAGAGGCTCACACAGGTCTGCCGCCAGGGCTGTGACTGCAGCCCCGCTTATTCAGAAGAAGGGCCGGCTGAGAAGTCGCTCTGAGGACAGAAGACTGAGGGCTTCTTCACAGTGGACTGTGGAGAGCCGTGAACCTGCTGAACCTGAGGCTCATGCACAACTTAATAGGGAGAGAAACTTGGCTCTCATGTGATCATCACACTGTCAAGAGGCCTTGGTAAAGATGTGTGAATACAAAGCTGAATTTTCCTAAGAAACTCTGGTCTCAGATATGGAACGCCACCTTCCCCTTCCACAGAATCTGGGCTCAAACGGCTTTGCTTTAGAGCACCATCTAGTGGCCATTCAGGTGCAACCCAGACCCAGGATATGGGAACCTGCACCTGCTCTTCTCCAGCCTTCCCTAGGAAGAGTCCAGGTCCTGCTCTGATCTGAGAGAAGCAACTGCGCCCCATAAAACCTGCCAAGCCTCTGTGCCTTCTGCCTGGCTGCGCGGCTGACTCTTGGACTGGCTCTCTCTCTCATGGTTCAGTGCACAAAGATGGGGGGAGTGAACATGGCAAATCGTCCCTCCACTGGGCCTCTCTGGCCCAGCTCACTGCCCAACAATACCAACACACAACTCAGCAGGACCCAGACACTGGAAGAAGCCTGATCATGGCCTTAACTGGGGTATTTTTTGCTACACACATTGGAATTGTGCTCATCCTTCTTTAACGTACTAATAGTATACACGTTTTAAGTATGTGGGTCTGCATGTTTGCACAAAAATCTATGCACTTGGTCAGAAGAAAAGTAGAAGACAGAGTAAGGGTCAAGTTTATTTGGGATATAAGGCCACAAGTGACCGGGACGTTTTCTCCCTCTCCCTGCTGTTCCACATCAGACTCTGCTTGCCTCCAGGACACCCCCAAGCTCACCCATAACCTCCTCTGATCATAACCTGGACCCCGTCAGGGGAGGCAGCCCCCATTTCAGAGTAAGCTTTCAGGGCTCCTCTGGCATATGGTGGGTGCTCAGCTGTCCCTGCCCTTCCTGAGGCCATCCACTCATACCTGTCATTCCTTCGGGTGGCTGGTGACCAGGATCGGCAGGATGAGGAGCCGGAGCTCGAGCGGCTGCGGGAACAGGGCTTCCGGCTGGCTTTGCTGGGTGGGCTCTGGTAGGGGCAGTGGTCGGAGCAAGGGGGGCTGACCCCTGAGTCCTCTTCTTCATCGTCCTCCTCCTCCACGCCCTCGTCCTCCTCCTCCTCCAGGAGGAGGCTGCTCTCACCACTGCTGCTGCTGCTGTCCTCAAAGACGGTGTCATACTCAGGGCTCTTGCATGAGGCCAGGTCTTCATCATCCAGGGCCATCTCCAGCAGCCCAAAGTGCTTGGTGAGGCTGGCGCGGATCTCATGGTCTCTCAGCTGCATGCTATCCCTGGGTGGGGGGCCAGGATCACAACTCCGGTCTTCCTCCCTCCTAGGGGGCTGTGGTTCAGCCTTTGGGGAGGTGCCCTGCTGGGGCCAGTCCTCCAGACGGGCCCCAGATGGCTCCCAGGACCTCAGCACCTTCCTCTGCAGGGCGCCCTCTGGCCTGAGCACCTGGCAGTAGTCATGGTCTCCAAAGGAGCAGGAGAAGGGGCGCTTCTGGCCAGCCTGGGAGATGGGCTGGGCCGGGGTGTGTCGCAGGTGAGACAGGAGCTCACTTCGCTCCGGTTGCCTCTTGGGCAGCCTCTGGGCAACCCCTGGGGAGGCTGTGAGCTGAAGAGCCTCAGGGGTGCTGGGAGCTGCATCTTGGCCAGGGCTGTGTTTGATGTCTGGCTTGAAGGGGTCCTCCTCCGTGGGCTTGTATGGAGGTGTGGTAGGTGGGGTGAGTCCTGCCCAGAGAAGAGGAGAAACTTGTGAGCAGGAATACAGAGTCCACAAGGGATAAGTGGCTGGGGGCTACCACTTCTGCCACTATTGAGGCAGAGCAGGCATCACTAATTGATCACCACACTGAGGCATGGCAGGCATCACTAACTGATTGCCACACTGCTGCCTGAGCCTGGATATAACTTGGGAATTCTCCAGTTCTTTGGAGCTGGCACATGATACACATTTAACATGTGTCTGTGGCTTGGTAATGGCAGCTAATGCATCCAAGTCATCAGAGATATCTCTTGCTGTACCTCTAATCATTCAGAGCTCTGCCTCCAGTGTTGCCCAGCAATGACCAGGTAAAACCTGGTCATTTTGAGGGTTTTTTTTCCTACTCCTGGGCCTTGAACTCAGGGCCTGGGGCCTTCCTGTCCCTGAACTCTTTTGCTCAAGGTTAATGTTCTACCACTTAAGCCACAGGTCCACTTCTAACTTTTTAGTGGTTAATTGGAGATAAGAGTCTCATAGACTTTCCTGCCCAGGATGGCTTTGAACCATGATCCTTAGATCTCAGCTTCCTGAGTAGCTAGAATTACAGGCATGAGTCACTGGTGCCTGGCTTCATAACAGTATTTTTAATACTCCTGCATCTGACCTTGGCCTCTATGTCCCCCGTGCAACTTTCCCACAGCAACTGGTTAAGACCCATCTCTTCCTCCCCAGGGTTAGCAAAGCCTCTAGGATGAGTAGACACTTGTGCATCTGGCCCTCAGGGCTGCTTTGCCTGATCTCTAGCCCCAGAGCCATGTGCCTAGTGGCTTGGGCGTCCTCTGTACTTCCATTCTCCACACCTTTAACTGTGCTGATTCTGCTGCCTAACATCTGATCTCCCTTCAAGCCTTGCTTGCATTCTCCCTGTGGTGGTGTCCAGGCCATACTCCTGTCCAGCTCTGACCCTCTTGTCCTTCCATAACTCTTGCTCATCCTGTGGAACAGGTGCACACCAAACAGTGCTCACCTAGCTGTGAGCTTGGAGAGCTGTTCGATCATCTCCCCACAAGACTATGGGCCTCAAAAGCTTGCCAGCTCCCCAGGGGTACCCCACATGCCGACCCAGGCCCACCTGCGGTGCCACAGAGCTCCACTGTCAAGGTCTGCTCAAAGCTCTTCTTGCCAAGAGGGTCACTGGTGGGGGCAGGGAGGACAGAAAGGAAAGAGGGCAGTTAGCAGCAAGTGTCCCTCACCCTGGGCATTCATGGTGGGCCCTAGTTCTGCTGTAGTGGAGAGGGGGTCTAGAGGAATACTGTAGTGGAAAGCCCATCCTAGCTCTTAAGGCATTTCAAGCTGCATGGTTTTTGAGAGACATAGGTGACGTTATTAGTAGGTAGACAGGAAACAAGTGTTCTAGGCCTCCATATTTTCTAGATGGACTACTACTCACTGAGGCCCGGAGTGGGTAAGGCATGTGCATCAGGTCACATAACACTGTCAGTCCCCAGGTCTTAGGGCTTGACTTCCCCATCCTTCCCTGGGCCTACAAAGGCCTACTTCTAAAAATGAACTCCCTGATAAGGAAGCCTAGCTCTTGAGGGCTCCAGAAGATACTCAGGACAGGGGCCTGGGAACAGGGCCAGGTTCAGGAGGCTGATGATCTTCCCTTCCCAACACATATCCAACAGGACAGAGTCTCACCAAACAATATGTTCTAAATATATTTCTAAAGATCTACCTTTGTGACAATGCCAGCATGAGGCACCTGGGAGAGTCTGAAAAGAAGACAAAAAAAAAGAACAATAAGATTCCCCAACATGGCACAATGAGCAGGTGTCCCCTCTCTGGAAGAGACCTCAAACTTCTAGGGGTGCTGAGCACAGCTATTCTTTGGGCAGATGACACAAAAGCATTAGCTATTTTTAGGGAAAAGCAGGAAGAACTCAAACCCACCTCCTGGCCTGAGTATGTGCTGTACACCTGTAATCTCTGGTATTTGGAAGGGACAGGAGAATCACAGTTGAAGGCCAGCCCAGGCAAAAGCACCAGACCCTAACTGAAAAACAAGCTACACACAAAAGGGCTGGGTATGGGTCAAATGGACTCTTGAGTTCAATCCCCAGTACCAAAAGAATAAAAAGGAAAAAAAAATCCACTGTCCAGGGCCTCAACTTGCAGAGCTCCTGGTTTGTAATGCAGGTGGGCTGGAGCATGGGCATGAGGACGACCCCTGGTGGACAAACGTTGTAGCACAGTGGCCAAGAGCTCTGACTTCCCAGGGCCACAGGACTCTGTGCTCTCCAGAGCCCTATGTGTCCATCACTAAGCAGCTCTGAGCCTCAACTTTTTTTTCCTTCTGTGGTTACTGGGGTTTGAACTCAGGACCTCACACTTACTAGGCTGGTGATGTTCTACTAAGCCATGCCTCCAGCCCTTGTTTTTGCTCTGAATCTCTAAGGTAGGTCTTACTTTCTGCCTAGGTGCATAGCTGAACTATAACCCATCAGAGTGTGTGTGTGTGTGTGTGTGTGTGTGCGTGCAGCAGTTCTGGAGCTTGAACTTAGGGCCTGGGTGCTATCCTTGAGCTTTTTTGCTTGAGGCTAGCACTCTACCCCTTGACCCATATAGCTCCACTTCCAGCTTTTTGGTGGTTAACTGGAGATAACAGTCTCATGAACTGTCTTGGCTTTCAACCACTGTCCTCAGATCACAGCCTCCTGAATAGATAGAATTACTGGCATGCACTACCTGTGCCCAGTGTGATCCATCTATTTTAGGTTACTTGTCATAGCCAGAATGACAGGCATATGCCACCACACCCAGATTCTTCCATTGAGACCAAGTCTCACAGACTTCTGTCCCAGCTAACCTGGAACTGTGATCCTTTAGATCTCAGCCTCCAACATGGCTAGGATGACAGTCATGCACCACCATGCCCAGTTCTAGGTTGAGAAGGGGACTTGAGTGCATACCCAGGCTGGCATTGAACCATAATCCTTCAGCCTCCCAAGTAGCTAAGATTACAGGTGTGAGCCATCTGCACTTGCTTGGTATTGTTTTTTGGTTTTCAGTTTTGTGGGGTTTTTTGGTCCAAGACCACAACTTGAACTCACGATCTGGCTAGTGCTCTACCACCTGAGCAATGCCTTCAACCCCTATTCTTGTTTTATGTTTGTTTGCTTGTTTTTTTTTTAACATTCTTACTGTGTAGCCCAGGCTGGCCTTGAATTCCAGGTCCTCCTCCCTTAGCCCCCTGGGTTCTGGGACATGTGAGCACCACCACACCTGGCTTTGTTTACATTCTGATTGCCTGTCTCTTCCAGAAACATAAGCTCCACAGAAGCAGATCTCTTGTCCCTGGTTCATTACACAGTACCTCCCTCCCACCTGATGAGCAACCTGTTTCCCAGGTGATGTGTCCTAAAGTCCATTATACAGAAAGGACATGGAAAGCCAGAGATGGACAGGAACTTGGCCAGCCTCGCCCCACACATGGGACCAGGGACTGGAACACAGGGCTCCAGGTGCCCAGCACAGCAGGGCATGATACCCCTTCCCTTCCCGCTGTCACAGGTCCCAGGCTCTGACTACCTCTGGAAGGGAGCTGCAGGCAGCCGGGGTCATCATCCGGGTCCCCACACCCACTTTCACAGGGGCTTTCCAGGGCTGGGATCTGGGGGCCCCGGAGGCCCTGTTGATCTTGGCCACTGTCCTCATCGACGAGGCTGCCCACGTCCTCCTCTGCGTGGTAAGTCCCAGGAGCCTGGCACAAGGAGGGCAAAGCATCTCGGGGCTCTGAAGGGACCAGCAGCTCATCAGTGAATGCCAGCCAGGGGCCCAGCTCGGGGTTCAGTCTTCGCGACCGCCGCACGGGACATATAGAGCTCTCCAACTTCCTCCCTAGCTTGGTCCAGGGCAGGCCTCGGCCCAGCCTCTTCCTGCCCCACTCCTCCTCCTCCTCCTCCTCTTCTTCTTTGTCTTCTTCCTCCTCCTCCTCATCTTCCTCATCTTCATCTTCTTCCTCCTGCTTCCTGGCAGACTGGCTGACATCACCTTTCACTTCCAGCCTCAGTGGGCGCAGGCTGGGTCTGGGCCCAGTGCTTTTGGGTGAAGCTGCAATCCTCACCTCTTCCACAGGGGATAGGTGAGCAGGGGAGGCCTGGCTGTCTTTGGAGGCCCTGGGCCTTGGCCGGGATGTGAGGGAGGCATAGACAGGCGTGGCCAGGCGATAGGGTTTGCTGACATCACAGGACACATCCTGGGATAGAAGTTCCCTCAAGATGGAGAACTCTGCCCAGGAGGCTTTGGAGGAGTGCCGAGGCCGCCGTGGGGCCTGCCTGGAGGGGCTGCTGCAGGGCTGAGTGGCCGGCTCTGCGGCCTGTGGGGGCAACTTCCTCTGGGGCAGGCAGTAGGTGTGCATGTAGCGGATGAGCTGTACCACTGCCTTCACGTCCTCCTGGGAACCCTGGGCAATGTCTGGAGCCAGAGAGTCTTGGGGAGAGGCTGCAGCAGGCCAGGGGATTGGACAGTCCTCCCCTGGCTCCTCATCCTCCTTGGCGAGACGTTGGGGACTCAGGCCTGGTGGCAGCTGCAGGCCCGTGCCCGGGACACGGGGGCAGGCTGGCACGGAGGTAAGGTGCTTATGTAGTTCTGTACAATTCCGGCTTTGGCACCGTGGCATGGGGACCTTCTTGTCCTGGGTGTTGTCCACCTAGAGAGGAAAAGGGACAAGAATGAGCAGGAGGGTCCCCCTCCCCCTCCCTCTAACACTGGCCCGCCCAGGGGGTTTCACCTGATTGCCAGGCTTCCTTTCACGTCGCCTAGCCTCTGGCTAAGAGCCTGCCAGCTGACCAGCTTCTCGGTGGGAAATGTGAAGCTCGCCCCTCTGGGGGGTGCTGCATGGCCAATGGCTGCTCCAATCACTCCTTCAGCGACAGGACCAGAGCATGGACTGTGCTGCCTGGGGCTGGGTATGGGAAGGGGGTCACCTAAATAGGGCCTTTGGGGATTCTTTGGGGATAATGGGTGTGTGCCAGAACTGGACTGTGGCATGCTTGTAAACTTACCAAAATCACCGATTGTTTGTTGGTGTTTGGGGTTTGGTTTTGTTTTGTTTTTGCAGGAGGTACTCCTGGGGTTTGAACTCAGGACCTCATGCTTGCTAAGCAGCTATTCTTCCACTTGAACTACACCCCAGCCCTACTTTGCTCAAGTTATTTTTCATCTATGTTCTCCAGTTTGGGCCTGGGACTGGCTTTGGACTATAATCCTCCTACATATGCCTCCCACAGAGCTGAGACTGCAGGAACATGCCACTACATGTGAGATACAATCTCACTAACTTTTTGCCCAGCCTGGCCTGGAAAGCAATCAACCTCTTGATGTCTGTCCCCCAAATAGCTGGAATGGCAGGTGTAAACTACCATGCCTGGCCCTCAGAACCATACTTCTAAAATAGGTGGTGTTTGACCAGGTGTGGTAGCATGCACCTATAGTCCCAACACTCAGGAGGCCAGAGGTTTGACCAGGAGGTCAAAGTTCAACGTCACCCTGGGCAACATAACAAGACTATCTAAAAATAGAAGAAAAAAAGCTTTTCCATTTTTCCCTACAATGCTTCTGTTATATTAAGCTAAAGCTTAAGGGAAAAAAAACAAGAAAAATAAAATAAAACAAGGAAAATTTTAAAAAAGAAACCAATGGCTTTTTGAGATATATATATATATGGCATTCCACGTTGTTATTAGAAGAGGAAAGTTCAGTAGCTTCCCAGTACCTGAAAAACAAAGGGTGGGGGCAGGCTGCTTGGGAAGGTGTCTTGAGGACTTCTGTGATCTGGCCATTGGCATCTACCAGCTGGCACCTCTCTCAAGCCTGATCTGTCCCTCCTGGATCAGGCCACCCCCAGGGGATGTTTTATTGCTTTTTACTGTTGTTGTTTTATGCCAGAACTTGGGCTTGAACTCAGGGTCTCTTGCTTTTGTTAGGCTTTTTCACTCAAGCCTGGCACACTACCACTTGAGCCACACTTCCAACTTTTTTTTGCTAGTTAATTGGGAATAAAAGTCTTACAAACTTTTCTGCCCAGGCTGGATTGAATCGGGCTCTTCAGACCTCAGTGTGAGCACCCAGCTTTGCTGGAGTTTTCTAACCATGGCTAACAGTGTATTTCACTTCTCTAGGAAACCTCTTTGGCCACTGACTTGGATAGAATGGGATACAAGAGGGGGCTCACTTGTTTCAGTCAGCCAAGACCAATAGAGAGGAAGTACAGGGACATAGTCCACCCACCAAGGGAGCCAGGCCTGGGAGAGGCTCCCCTGGGAGGCCCTGTGTGGCTGTCCCCTGGAGAGGGGGAGCAGGGCAGGATGGAAAGAGACGAATGCAGCTTGGAGGATCAGATACCCTGGGAAATCACCTGTTTAGCTCCACTCCTGTGGAAGACAGGCCCAGGTAGGAAAGGAGACTTGCCTCAACTCTGGATGTTGCAGAATTATAAACTGTCCTATGGCTCCCCAGAAAAGAAACTTCAAAATCCCCAGACTTTATTTATGTGGCCTCCACAACCAGCAAGGATCCAGTTCCTGTCTGTCAACTGCCCCCTCCATTAGAACATGATCCCCAAGGCAGGCCACGCTTTTTAACCAGTGTTAACATCTTAACATGTCCCTGCTTTCAACCTGTGCTGAAGCACTGACATGTGAATAAATCCGGGGCTCTTCTGAGAACCCTAAATTAAGCAGGATCTGATGAGGTGGTGTTCAGGACACAGGCGCTGCAGGGATTGTGGCAGGAGCGAAGGGAGAAACTGAAGTGGGTTGTGGATTAAACACACTCCACTTAGCCAAAGCTGACAGCTGTGTCCCAGAGGCCACCGGGAGCCCAGGGCACACCTGGACATGTGCTGAAATACCTTGACACAAGGCCGCTGACGCCTGGACCTGAGGCTGGCTTGGCGCCAGGAAGTCCCCTCCTTCTGGGATTCAGAGGCTGGAGTTGAGGAGGAAGTGGCCAGGAGGAGCTTCTGCAGCTGGAAGAAGCAGAGGAAGAGAGGCTGGAGCCAAATGCAGTCAGCAACATGGTCAGCTGACCACACCACGCCCAGGCCCCGGGACCATGAAGAGGCCATGGGATACCTAGAATGATGCTACCAATATATTAAGCACAGAAAGAAAACCATCTAACAACTTAAACACATACAATTATCCCACTTCCAGGTAAGCTCTTTTCAGAGTAAAAAAACCCAGCATAAGCCAGGCACTGGTGCTTCACACCTCTAATCCTAGCTACTTAGAAGGCTGAGATCTGAGGATTGTGGCTCAAAGCCAGTCTGGGCAGAAAAGTCCACTAAACTATTCAGAAAAAGTCAGAAGTGGCACTGTGGCTCAAGTGGTAGAGTGCTAGTCTTGAGCAAAAGAAGCTCAGGGACAGAGCCTAGGTAAGGTCAAGCCCCAGCTGGAAATACAAGTATGACTCAAGTTGTAGAGCATCAGCCCTGAGTGAAAAAGTGCAGGGACAGCTCTCAGACCCTGAGTTCAAGCCACACACACACACACACACACACACACACACACACACACACACA